AATATTTTCACTCAGTTCTCTATGTTGGGTGTCAATGGCATTATCAACGGCTATTTTACATGATGCCGAATCGTGTGGGTATATAAATAAATATAGTGCTTTTAGTTTCTCCGGTAGGAATGTTACACGATGGAAGTGAAAAATGCAGCAACAACGAATTTGCAAACGCTTGACTTATCATACATGCACATGCAATTTATAAACCACGATTTTTCCCCGCTGCTAAAGACGCAAAAGCACGAAAGTAATACAGACTTTCGTTAAAAGCACAAATACGTGCCTTTGGTGGATGTACTAAATGATCGTTTTGTTAATTAAAATCGTGGCCACGCGTAATGTACAAGCACTAGTTTTACGACGCGCGTGGAAAGCGATTCTGGCCGCGGTTGCAAATCACAGTAGCGTCAGCCCGATTTTTCAAGCGGTGACGCGAAATTGATAAATAGCCTCGCGCCGTCGGCTTAATTGGCCTCGGGTAAAACACCTCGGGCTGCCCGTGAACGTGTGCATGTACTCTCTTGAGCGGCAACAGCACGAGACGCTCGTTACTTTTCGTCCGCTCGTTTTGCACTGTAAAAAAAAGCTTTATTGCCGTGAAAATTTTTAATGGCCGCGATTTTTCGCTCATTCCACGCTCAGAGGTTTCAGTGCTTGTAGCTTTTTGTGTTTCAATCCTATTCTTCGTGTGGCCTATACCAAAAGTTTTTTGTTATTTGAACATGGTTATTTCTTGTAGCGTCTTGGAAGGATGAAACTTGGATTTTGCGATTCTAAGTTTTTCAGTAATATAATTCCACTTTGTTTATGTTACCGAGTTGGTTGCAGAACATAAATGACGTGTGAGAAAACTCAAGTTGAAAGGCAGAAGAGATTTTATTAGCTAAACGAATTTAACTGATACCTTGAGAGATGTCTCGTACTCAACAATGGATAAAAGGACCTTTTCATGACATGTGTCCTTACACTGGTGACATCCCATGATTTGGGTCGTTTATTATGTATACTGACATTATTGCTTGTCATCGTAATTAAATCACAGGTAGTGTTGGAGTGCCGTAATTGTATTTTAACAAAAGATCAGCGTCAAAGGGTGGATTGTTGGAAAATATTGTTTATCTGAAAAATTTTCAGAGAAAGTCAAAATTACTGAAAGATGCGAGCAGTTAAAGGCAAAAAAACCGTCATCAAAAGTTCCTTGTTCACTTTGGCGAATTGAAATACATAGAAAAATCAATAAACAACAAACCCGTTTACCAATGAGCTAAAGCGCCGGGAGAATCGGTATCTATACTCATAGTTAGCGCATAAATTTCCTACGATCTCTCAACAACGCTTCTCCCCGTTTCCCATAATTTTGCCCATTTCTCAAGTAACGCACGTTCAACTCTTCTATGATGAGCCAGTAACATTGAACAAGGTAGTATACGTGTTGTGCATGAAAAAGATGGCCTGCCTGCTATACTATCACCACTGCAGTCGATCCCTTAAACCAATTTTTTTTTTTTTTTTTTTTTCCTCTTTTTTTTCCAAGTGCAAAGAGAGAGGCTTCCTCGCTCTAATACGCCACGCAAACTGTAATTCTGTCGTGTACATGTGTACACGTGACCGCTGCCTCGGTCTTCTTCTTCTTCATCGCTAGTGTCATCTTCCACATCGTTCAGAACTTTATGAACGCTATTTGCTACTTTTTACAAAGTGTGTCACACTCATCTGGACATGAGTAATCGATTATTATCATTTGTCTTAGGCTATAGGTAATGACTCTTTCAAATACAAGTAGATACCATGAGTGCACGAAAAGAATCATCATCTGAAAAATCTAAACTACAGATTTATGTCGTGAATTTCCTACTTGTATGTCATTTCGATGATGATCATTTGACTATAGCTCAACCAAAATTACCTAGTTCGGGAATGTGGGAAAAAATGTTCATCTTTATTTTGCACTTATGGTGTACAAAACTTTACTATAAATAATCCGATACATCAGTCAAAGATCTATGTAGATTCACACGTATCTGTAGAAAAGGCAAAGAGAATTCCCAAATGTATATCGTCATATTTCCATTTTGTCACTCACAATGAATCACACGGCGCGCTACACCTAATTGACGATACGCTGTCACGAGAGAAAAGAACAGCAACAGGTTACAAGATCGTCGCAGCTGCTGCTGATAGGATGGCGGTGCAACCGAATCCTCGTAACATAATTAATTGTGATAACTTATTCCAGTTCGTGGGATCTGGACACTCTTCTTTGGCAATCAAAGCCAGCGTTTGGAGAGAGTTAGACGAGACTTTGTACGGAACGGCGACGTACTTAATATGATCCAAGAGGAAAAAACACGTCAATGGAAACGCGTTCGCGTAATAATAATGATCCACTGGGTGGAAGAGGTGCATCTTCTGTTATGATAAAAGGCCAGTGGCACGCAACATGATGCTTCTTGCGGTACATGTATTATCATCGCACGTGCGTACATACATCTCCTTCTGCCCGCGCGCATCACCGTAATTGCTTGTAATTACCCTTTAACGAGCGTTAGGAGCGTGCTTGTTATTGTGTGTTTGATGCTGCGAACTAGAAGCTGCTGCTTAAGGAGGATTTATATATGTATCGGTGCCTGGGTCCCAGGACTGCGAAAACATTATACTTATACGCGATAGAACGGAAATAGGTTGTTAGGTTAATGTGAGTATGCGAAAATTTTTTATTTTTTTTTTATTTTTAGGAATCATTTATTACCTGATCAGTCGATCTTTGGAGATTTACGAGAGTACCTTGACCATATACTCTGATGTGAATCCAAGCGTGTTATTCGTATTTCCGGATGTTTACCCAATGCACTGCATCGGTATTAACAAGCACTTAAATAGATCTATGATTAATTATCTTATCTGATCTATTACTGCAGAAAAAATCATTTGGAGAAGGCTTCTAGGTGTAAAGCATCTTTATGCAATTATATTATAAATCTACAATAAACGTAATGGGTACTAAACAGCCTTCAGGGGTTGTATACGAAAAAAAAATTTGGTTGAGCGTTGCACAACTTAGTTAGTTGGTCGATCCCACCATAAAATACGATGATCCAACCGTAAAATATAATTGCTGTAGCCAACTCATATTTGTTCAACTATGGATACAGTCAAAGCAATCACTCAACTATCATTAACTATTTTTCATAGCTAGGCTAACCAATTTTCTTCCCAGTAGAACTAGTGAAACACTAAACTTACTGACACCATTATCACTTTAGACGTGTTAATTCAATATACTCTGATTTTCAATGCATACATAGTTCATATTTGACACCATGTGCTTGTGTGTGTCTACGTATGTTCTGATATTTCCAAACAATTTTATTATGGCTTTAAGGATATTTATCAGGTACTCCAAGGAGACATAGCCAGGTAGTCCATATTGAATAAATGGAAAATAAAAAATTCAAGTGGTTAAAAACCCAATAGTACAAGTTGTCCTACCAAAGATTATAATCTACAAAATCCTATGGGTTCATAATATTCCCACTACATCAACCGATCAGCTTTCCGTGAAGGACTCGGATGTATAGCTCTCGGTAAGGCAACAATCGGTACGCCTATAAGGTAAAGTTGGCACATCCTGCCGTCAGGCGATTGTTCTTCAACCTCTGGCGCGTGGTTGCGAAAAAGTTTTTATCGAGAGGATGTGCCGCGTGTGTCGCGTTCCAAGTAGAGAGCCGACTCCCACGCAGCAGCTCGGCACGCTTTTGCGTGATAAATGCACGACTAGTTTTTTTCTCTCGGCTAAGAAACTACACAATGGGTTGTATATGGTCTGTTGTTAATGTATAGTCTTTATTTGGGAGCGGAGTAAAAAAAACAATTAGCGATAAATAAAAGAGAAAAAACGTGGTTCAACTGCATTACCACGCGTTTTGGCTGAAAATATGTATAACTGGTCAAGCTGTCTCATACCTACTGCTGTACTCTTCTTCGTGCATTTGCTTGTTCTGTCAAATTGATCTTTATCCCGACATGTCGCTCGAGCTCCACGACTGGCTTCGTTCTTCCGCTAAGGCTTCTTCGCGTCCGCATCCCCTTTCTCTCGTCCAGAACTCTGTACTTGAATGTAGTGCATCCCTTTTGCGAGTCAAAGTAAAGTGAAATAACTTTCAAATGAACAAACATACGTTGTACACGAAATTCACAGGGTTTTGCCATCAATATATTCTTTACTGTTGCTGTATGGAGTTAACATTTTCGTTTAATCGAATCTGGTTGAAGGAGTTTATTTTAAAGTTACACCATGTTGTTCAGCATCTAACGTAAAAGTAAAAAGTAAAAAAGAAACGAATTGTCAAAGTTTTTCATCAAAGACTGCGATATTTGATCCAAACTAATTGTACATCTACTGTGAAATCAAGTGTTTTAGAATTCAATACATTACATTCTGTCTCATGTTTTCAATACGCTATTGGCTGTCTAAAAACCTTTCAGAATCAGAGAAAAGTTTAGATATTAAAGTATTTAAAACGCTTTTTCGAATGATTTGATTATTTTTAAAAAAATTTTTCTTTTTTTTATTGTGATGCATCGTTTTTGCTGAAAAATTATTTGTATAAAATAAAATAGTATTGCAAAATTGATAAAATATCTGTGCCTAAGTATGAATGAATGAATGCTTTTTCAATTGAAAATCAATAAACTATTACAATAGTACGAAAAAAATTTACTAAGGTTCGTCTGTATTAATCGTATTGATTGATTTTCTATTTAAAACATTTTGCAAAGTATTGACAGTATCTTGAGTGTAACACTATACAAACGAGTGAGTGTAAGAAAAAAAAGGGTCGTATGAGTGAAACAAAGACAAATGCCCATACTCATTAAAGGTAACAGAAGAAGAGACCACTGCGCCGGCTTCGAACTCAATTTAATTAGTGGAGGTTCACAGATATCTTATTAGCATTGAGGCTCGCATTCGCGCAGTACCGAACTAGTGTAGCTCACGCCCTTTGGTGGTGCCCGTACCGATAGTCTTGCTTGCCGATGGCGTACTGATGCGCTGCTGCACCAATGCCATCTTAAATTTACGGAAACTAGTTTTTTTTTTTTCTTCTCAAGTTGTGACTTTGTTGCTGCTGAGTCGCGAGGATGGCTGAAATCATCGGTTAGTGCGCTCGATTCGACAGAGAAAATTTAAAAAAAATTGTGGCTTATTTGGAGAGAAAGTGAATCTGATGGTTTTGATTTTTATTCGTTTTCAGTGGGGATGGACTATGTTTGCACTAGTCAAAATTACAGTCAATATATTCCTTCTGATTTTAGAAAGGGTTCCTAGAAAAACCACATAGTAATCGATATAAGTCGTGAAAATAGTGATACCGTTCGGACGTGTATTACCGCACGTATGTTCCCTGTAAATGTAAAATTTGAAACGTGTGACCAAGTGCCGAGTATTTCTTATGCGTTTTACTTTTTTTTTTTTGCAAAACCCCACCACAGAAGGTAGAATTTATGAAACATCGCATTGTTCTGATGAGCTAAGTTAGTTTTCGAAAATCATATGCAATCAATACGATATCAATAGCTTTTTACAAGTGCTACGTAAGAAAAATACTGAAAATTTTTTCCAACACTTTGTGTGCGAAGAGCTTGATATATACCTTGATGTATACACTACGGTAACTACTTCGCATGCTGACCCTTGCTTCGCGCACTCGAGTTGAAAAATATCTTACTCGACCCTTGAAGTTTATGAAAAGTCCCACCTGTGTGTAAAACCATCAACTTTACGCACTTGTGACGTAAGATACTTTTTTAGCTCTTGGGTGTTTTGTTTCTGAATTAATAAATGTAAACGTGTGGCAGTAATATAAAAAATTTGAGTATGAATGGTACACAATACATCTAGAAAGGAAAAGTATACCATCTCTCAGACGCCTAAGGCGAGGGTGACTAGCATTCAATAAAAGATATCTTTATTTGCTCTTTGGTGTACGCAATACAATTTTGTATCCCCTGCAGTAAGAAAGAAGAATTTGTCTTACTTCTGCGTGGGAAGAAGTTTTCCAATTTTTACTAGGTAGGGTGAAGATACGCTTGAAAATTGCAATAGTAATCATTCGTTGAATTTTTTACCACGAAAATTACACAATATTAAAACTTATTCAATATACATGAAAATACACATAAATAGCTATACTCAGCGTGGAAAAAGATAAAAAAATGTTTTTTTTTGTACGCAACAATTACTGTCGCCCATCAATACATCTTTGCACAAGCGAATCGTCCAACATTTAGGTGTTTTTGTAATAATAATAATCCCATTTATTCCTTCCTTTCAAAAGCATAAAAAACTTAAAGTCAAATAATTCGGCGTAACAAAACCACACATACCAGACGTTTTCCCTCAAAGTACAAAAATCCAATAAAAAGACTCCGCGTACGAATGAAAAAAACAGAGCGTCTCGCTGCTTTTCCAGAAATGACCGGCGGCGGCACCAACATGGCGTACCGGGGCCTCAGCCAGCACGTGAACTTCGACACAGTGCCGGACCCCGAGGACCGTTTTTCCCTCGAGGAGCTCATCGGCGAGGGTACTTACGGCGAAGTGTACGCAGCGCGCGACAAAGAGTCCAATGGCCAGGTGGCCATTAAAATCCTCGAGAACGTGGCGGACAATATCGAGGAGATCGAGGAGGAGTTTCTCGTGCTGCGCGATCTGAGTGTACACCCCAATATACCGGCCTTCCACGGCATCTTCCTCAGGAGAGCCAAGCACGGACAGGAGGAAGACCAGCTTTGGTTTGTCATGGAGGTGAGGTCAAATGCCCACTTTCTCTTTCTTCCTGATCTTACCCGCACTTGTTTGCTAATCATAGTTTTTTTAATTCTCAACAAGTTGCAAGAAAACCGTAAAAAATTGTATTTCCTTGTTCCTTATAGTAATCGTTAAGTCAATGAAAATTACACCGAGTGTCTTTAAATTTTCCCGAGTGCCATTTACTTAATACGCGGAATCGTGGCAATTAGGAAAGAAACAAAAGAGTGCAGAGCGCTAACTCCAATTAAAACGCAATTCTTAGGAGCCAAATTATCTCCGCCGTGAAAAAGTGCCATTTTCCTATACCGATGTACCGATACAACGCGTCACGGCACAGAAAACCGTAAACACATTTGCTCGACGGAATCATATCAAACCCACGAATCTCACCCTTTTGCGCTCCGTTGCACACCTGTACGCGAAATTTCGCACCATCGACGCTTCGTGTATAACGTCGCGCTCCATCGGCGCGATTCCCGATCTCGCGCGAAAGCTGGCAAAGACACAGCCTGCCATTGTTTTGAACACTGTTTTTACAGAGAGAGAGAGGGAGATGGGAGGCGAGATCGCGATACTTCCACAGGAGAAAGTCAGGACTTGCGGTCCGACGGAGAATCGCATGATTTTTCACGCCGAGACGGGGAATCGGTCGGAGCATTCGCGCGGAAAGGAACAAAATTCTTGCTTTATCGATGCATTTCGTGGAAACTATCGGATCCCTGGATCTATCATTGACGTTGTTGTTGCTCGGTATTTTTTTCTTTCTTTTCTTTCGAGAAAACTGTTCTGTCCGCGACGCGGACTTTCGTTCTGCTTTGCAACGCCTGACTTTACGGTTCATGCGTTTATGGACCGAAATCGTTACTTTCGACAGTTTAGAGCAACACCGTCAATTTCCAGACAACTACCAACTGTACTCTCCACGCGAGCTGGCCTCATGACAATGCGCTTTTCCTTTGCGCACAGCAGAAAGTTGATAATTGGAAAATAAAATTTTTACCGCATAATCGATAAATAACGGAATGCACCAGGACAAAAAAAAAAAAAAAAAGAAAAGAAAATAAACTTAGCCTAGATTCGAGCGATTCGAAAAACGAGATGTGAAAGAGTCAACCCGCAAATTAGGTACACGAGAATGCCTCGGCCCTACACTCTCTCGCATCCAAATTGAATTTCTAGCGAGCGCGTTTCTCGCGTGACACTAAAAGTCTTCCCTCGTCCGATAATTACTTGTGTCCAGATATATACTTATACTCGGGTATGTTTCAACAGCTGTGCACGGGTGGCTCGGTGACGGACCTGGTTCAGGGTCTGAAGAGGCGCGGAAGCCGTTTGACCGACGATCAGATAGCCTACATCTTGAGGGAGACCGTCGAGGCCTTAATTTACTTGCATAACAATCACTGCATGCACCGCGACGTCAAGGGACACAATATCCTATTGACCGAGGATGCGAGGGTTAAGCTCGTCGACTTTGGTGTGTCGTCGCATTTGGCAGCTACACACGTCAGGAGAAACACCTCCGTCGGCACACCGTATTGGATGGCTCCTGAAGTAATCATACTTATGTTTTTTATGGTTTTTTTTTTTAACTCTTAGGTGATAAAGCATTCTTCTGAAGGAGATTTTTTGAGTATAAGGAGGAAAATCGAGGAAAGTAGTAATGCAAGAGAATAGCTGTCCTAGTTTTTGTTCTCTCGTACATATCATTGAGAAAAATTTGAAACTATAACCATTGAAAAATGGCTGAATTATCACTGCATAATTAATTTGCTGAAAAAAAAATCTTTACGAGTAGTGAATAACAATTTTTTACAATATTCATAAAAACTTTTAAGTATGGATCTTTTCCCTAACATTTGTTAGCGCCTGACTACTGTCTTCGTGCCCATCATTTGTGTAAACTTCAAATTTCTATAACATTTACGACAATATGATGATACTCGTCTTTTATACAGGTTGTTATTATGATTATTTTTATTGCAATAATACGACTAGCTGAAGTCCCACAAAAAAATTTCAATTTCAATCGGCTATATTCATCATAAATCAATGTACTTTGCGGAGCTAAATTTGATCCTTTCGTCAGAGTAAAAAATTAAGCTCTAATTTCTATTACCTTCAACTTTAAATCGGCAAATCTAACGAAAGATTAGAATGGATTAATTTCCAAAGCTACTCCAGTAACATTCTAAAATAACCAAGAAAATTTAAATTTCACTAATCATCACAAGTCACAATTCACGAACAATTATTTCGTATTGTGTTGAAGCAATTGTTTGCTTTTGTCAATTTATGTTACTTTTTAATACGAAAGTATTATATTTTTTGTCAGCCCAACCCAAAAACTCATCAACAACCCCTTACAGGTGATCGCCTGCGAGCAACAGCTCGATTCGTCGTACGACTCACGTTGCGACGTCTGGTCGGTGGGCATCACAGCGATCGAACTGACGGAGGGCGACCCACCCTTGTCCGAGCTACACCCAATGCGGGCTCTCTTCCAAATTCCCCGCAACCCTCCTCCCTCGCTGAAAAACCCGGACATACACGCGCCCGAGCTCACCGACTTCATAACCGAGTGCCTCGTCAAGGATCTTGAGCACCGGCCCTTCGCTTGCGAGCTCAAAGTGCACCCGCTGCTCGTCAACATTGAAGGAAGGCTGGACGAAATCAGGAGCCAACTGCAAGAAGAAATAAGCAGACAAAGGTAGGCTGTTCAAATGAAATAGAGAACCAGGACTATGTGCACGGGAGGATTAATGAGTATTGAATCATGACTAGGACTGACGGACGAGTGAAACGACAGCCAGAAGTGACGACCAAGCACGGAAAGTTGAAGACGGATCGAAAGGCTAGGCCTGAAAAAATGTACATGGACGACTTGGCTGCGTTGGACACGTTGTCCGAGGACGCCATTGTCGATCAGTTGCAGAATCGTTACGAAAGATCTCAAATTTACACGTACATCGGAGACATTCTCGTGGCTGTTAACCCGTTCACGAATCTTGGCCTTTACACGGGCTTGGTGAGTAAATAACTCTTGCTTCAATAATTTTATTTATTTTACACGAAGAATAAGGTTCAACGGTTACATAAAAGAACTGAACGGTAATTAAATCTGAAACAAAGCAATTCTTTTAAATGAATTGTCATCAAACAGGGATGAAAATAAAATGGTTATATTGTGTTACAAAAATACCCTACAGGAGCAGAGGCGTTACAAAGGCCAAGCCCGCTCCGACAACCCTCCGCACATCTTTGCAGTTGCGGATGCCGCCTATCAGGCACTCCTTCACCAGCGTCAGAATCAGTCGATCGTCATAAGTGGCGAGTCGGGTGCCGGCAAGACTGAATCTGCTAATCTTTTGCTCAAACAGTTGGTCTACCTGAGCAAAGCACCGAATCGCAATCTCGAAGAACGTATCTTGCAGATCAACCCCATTATGGAGGCTTTTGGTAATGCAGCGACTGGAATAAACGCCAATTCCTCGAGATTCGACAAGTATTTGGATCTGACGATGACCTTGGGTGGTAAGGTCACCGGAGCCAGAGTTGCTGTTTACCTGTTGGAGCAATCACGTGTCGTTGCTCAGGCTGAGTGAGTGATCATTTTTGAGATTACGGACAGTATAATTTGGAAAATTCACGACAACTTAACAATTTCTATTTTTTTCCCAGAGAGGAAAAGAATTTCCACATATTCTACTACTTGTACGATGGCTTGGAAGCCGATGGACGCTTGGATGAGTTCTTTTTGAGCTCAGAATTGCGCAAGAAACACCGCTATCTCACATATGATACTGATCCATCGCAAACTAACATAGATAAGTTCCAGCAATTAAAGGCAGCCTTCAAAGTACTTGGCTTCCACGATGCTGAGGTCGATACAGTTTACAGTATTATAGCTGCCATACTACATCTTGGAGATATCGAATTCGAAGAGATTCTTTCTGAGGATAACACTGACAACAAGAGTGCCGTAGTGGACAACGAACCAGTTAACCGAGGTACGTTATATGTAAACGTGTATTTAGTGACAAGAAAAACGTATAAAGAATGACGACTGATAATCTGTCTATGTTTTGTCATTATTTTCAGTCACAAAAATGATTGGAATCGAGCCAGATGATCTCATCGAAGCGCTGACTTCGAACTCCGTGGTAACGCGTGGTGAGACAATAACTCGCAACAATACAGTAGCCGAAGCTTGTGCTGCTCGCGATGCCATGGCCAAATGTCTGTACGGCAGACTTTTTGACTGGATGGTCAACCAAATCAATTGTTTGCTGAGTTTTAATCGGTCGCCAAACTACGAACCCCTATCCATCGGATTGCTCGACATCTTCGGCTTCGAAAATTTCCCGAAGAATTCGTTCGAGCAGCTTTGCATCAATATCGCCAATGAACAGATTCAATACTATTTCAATCAACACATTTTCACTTGGGAGCAACAAGAGTACATGGCCGAAGGTATTCCACTCGATCTTGTAGAGTTTTCAGACAACAGGCCTGTATTGGATATGCTTCTGAGCAAACCCATGGGTTTGCTTGCACTGTTAGACGAAGAAAGCCGATTTCCCAGAGCTACTGATAAGACTTTAATAGGTATCTTTTGTAACTGTGGTGGTGTTGATAGTAAGAACACTATTTGTTTGAATGCGCATAACATCGAGCGTCTTTTTATTTACAGAAAAATTCCATAATAATATAAAATCGAAGTTTTATGTACGGCCCAAGTCTGATGCCGTGTGCTTTGCCATCCATCACTTTGCTGGTCGAGTCGTCTATCAAGCCGATGGTTTTCTTGAAAAAAATCGGAACTTTTTGCCACCTGAGGTGATACAGCTAGTGCGTCAATCGCGTTTTGACATGGTTCGATTCCTCTTCCAATGTCCCATCACGAAGACGGGCAATCTCTACTCTGCTATTCAAGATACAAATTCCAGACGATTATCCGTCTCCAGTACGAAGGTACGGGTGAAAAGATATTACTGAATTTATGATCCTTATTGATACTACTTTTCATTTATTTAAAAGGAAAGATACTCAAGTCGAGGATTGGCATCGCAGTCGCGAGCTCAACAGACCGTGGCCACGTACTTCAGGTACTCTTTGATGGATTTACTTCAGAAAATGGTTTCGGGTTCACCACAATTCGTTAGATGTATCAAGCCGAATGATAACCGGAGTCCAAAGTTCTTTGACAAAGAAAAAGTAATCAAGCAGCTAAGATACACAGGAGTTCTTGAAACCATAAGAATCAGACAAAATGGCTTCTCCCACAGAATACCTTTCAACGAGTTCTTAAAGAGGTACGGAAGAACAACTTGTTTCATGAAATTTTATCATCCAGATCGAAAAACTGCATTTACGATTAATTCTAGATATTGCTTCTTGGCCTTTGGTTGGGATGAACGAGTCGTAGCAAATCGTGACAACTGCCGGCTCCTTCTTGTACGCTTAAAGATGGACGGTTGGGCTCTGGGTAGAACAAAAGTTTTCCTGAAATACTATCACGTCGAGTTCCTTTCGAAACAGTACGAAGAACAGTTGAAAAAAATCGTCCAGGTTCAAGCGTGTGTTCGACGTTGGTTAGCCAAGATCAGATTCAAGCGGGAGAAGTGGCAACTTGCCGTTTCAGTGGTTACATTGCAACGACATATACGCAGATGGTTGGCCAGAAAACATGCCATCGAAGCGATTAAACAGAGAAACTTACAAGAAGAATCGGAAGCGCTTCCAAATGCTGCTGGTAAGTTTTTCATAAAACTACACCCCAGACGAAGTAGTCCCTAACATGTACTTGTAATATAAAATTGTTATCGCATGAATGATTAATGCTTTGTAGAAGAAGCTGCAGAAAGAGCCAGATGGTCGAAACAAGCTTCAGTGGATGCAGACAGTGCTGCGGTTGTGATCCAAAGTCATTTCCGAGGCTATACAATTCGGAAGAAGTTTGGCTATGAACTAGAGGAAAGATATAAGAGGATTCTCAATGATTATGACAATAAAAAAGAGGCTCATCAAGCATTGTTACGTGAGGGTTTGAAAAACGAAGATGCAGCGCTTATTATAAAACGATGGTACAAGACGGAAGAACCAGTCAAGAAGAAACCACCCGCTAGAGATCCCATTCATCCCAAGTTGCGACAAGCTGACTTGATTAACTTTGCGCAGACTGTAAGCACAATACAGAGTTCAATCATTTGTTTTTGGAATTTTTCAATTGAAATTTAACGTTATGTTTCGATCGTTAGGTTCACATGAAGAATCAAGAAGTACACAAGTACTTGCGTCGTAACAAGGCTGGTATTCGACTTTCAGACATTGAAGACATGCCAGCAGATTATGTGAGACCAAAAGGCTTTAGCATGGTCCAATCGATTCTACAGTATCGTAATGGTAATCAACCCGAGGCTGAGGAAACTGTCAAATACTACCGCGATTTGAAGGAGGAAATGAGCAGGTAACTATCTACCGTATAGTATGCACATTTGACATGATAAAAAAACATCGAACGAAAGAATGAGAGCTATTGAAAATAAGAGATAAAATCGAAATTTGAATTCGGAATTTTACCATGATTTTGGCACTCGCATCGAAAGTGGTTCAGACTTCGAAGAAGAAGAAGTTGGCTGGGACTTACCGTTGACACAGCTAGAAAATGACCTTCACCCACAGTCGAGGTACTATAAAATCGGTGCCATCAATTATTAGAGTTGACATTGAACTGTTATATGTATGCTAGCTGCCACGATTTGTTAATTCCGTAGATATTTCTGTGACCTTTTTTCATTGACTAAGTATACAATCTTTAGTGTTCACTTGTGTGTCCACCCAAAAATAATCACGTATCTTTGCTACGTAATAAAATTACGTCAATCGTGTAACAAATTTGGAAAAACGTGATGTGATATCCATACGTGATAAAATTACGTCATGAAACTAAATTACTTTTATAAGTTTTTTTAACTTAATTAAAAAAATAATGTATATTTTTATGTAACAAAAATATAACATTATTTTCAAATAGAACAAAATTACATTTTTTGACATGATTTTATAACGTATGGAAATCACGTCACGTTTTTCCAAATCTGTTACACGGTTCACGTAATTTTATGATGTAATTTTACTACGTAACAGATGTATACGTAATTATTTTTAGGTAGGTATAAATTATTTAGTTTGTTATACATCATTTTCATACCATTATCCTAGTCCTAATAGACCAAGCTTATTGATTTCTATAGTTCAGGGTGGAACAAAATTAGTTTTTTGACCACTTACGTAATTTAGAAAGTTGAAGTGTTGAAACCAGTACTTTGCTCCGAGGAATATGCGATTCTCTTACTAGTGCCTTGATACAAAACTATGCACGTTAGCTCCAAGAATAGATGTATAGATGGAAAACCATTTTTTTTTATCTCAGGAGCCGCATGGGTCAGATAGTGGAGATAAATGTGGAGAGGAGGGAGCGTCTTCAGGCTCATGGAGACTATACAGTTGCTCCGGAGCAGCAGCTTTCGGACATCTGGCACAAAGCCTTGAGAAATCCAGCCGAGACCCAAGGAGCGGACACCTCGACCCTAAAAATCAAGTATGCATATTATTTTGTTCTTATGTTATCTATTGGCTGGAAGATAGTCTTTACATTAATAATAACTGTCAATCATCATATCTATTTCATTTTTTATGTATTTCTTGGCACTACAAAAGTTAATACATTTTTTAAGTAGCTATTTACTTACGATTGTTATTATTTACAATAAAATTTGAGGTATTCTAGTTATTTAACATCATTTCTAATGATCCAATGCACTGTTTAATACTAAGACTATCTTAAATATTCTTTGTGCATTTAATATAACTAATTAATGACTAAACTTCGTAATTATGAAAGCTAACATTAATTTCTCAATGATTTTATCTTGCTTAATCAGAGGTATCATGGCAAACTTTCAGGTACAGTTATATTCGTGGAATACTAATTATTTTGGACTAATATTTATAATTATATTTGGTAGAAAAAATGAACTAAAGTAATAAACAACTTTCATGACTAAGTAAAGTGTCATAAACATTCATTAGATCTACATACTTATTTAGTAATGAAGTTGAACTGGCTAAAGAGATTGTAAAATTTATTCATAAGTAGAAAAAAAAAAGAATGGAAAATTATTCACAAAATTTATTTTCACTCTTATTAGTTCAAGGATTAATGAACTGCGCAGCAACATGCGACCCTCGTCAAACCAACAATCAGCCAATAAGCAACACACCAGCAACAATTCGAATATCAACTCTTCAGCTGGCCTACGAGTCAGACTTGGTGTCAACAAAACCAACGGACTCAACATTCGCTTGAATCCTACGAATGTATTGGTCAATAATCCACTGCAACGACAGAACGACGCAGTAACTCAACGCCAACGTCTTAACAACAACAACATCGAGCTACATAGTCGGCTACCGATAATAAAGCTAGTCGACCGACTCAGTAGTCCAAAAAGCAATAATAATAACAATAATATTAATAATAGTAATAATAACAATAATAACAACAACAAGATGAGTAATAACAAAGCTAATAAAAATGGCTACTTGGAAAAAAGTCGGCAGCAACCGATTTCCTTTAGCAACATCGTTAACGGCAAGTCAAACGTGGCCGTGAAATCTATCAACGACTCTTCAGGAATAACTCCGGATCTTCGGAAGTTGTTGAGGCCTACAATCACGAAAATAAACGAGGAAAATAAGTTGCATTGTCCGGCCAGATTGATTCAACAGCAAAGCGACGTTGAGGACATCAATGGGCCCTACAACTTCCGCAAGCTGTTGAGGCCGGCCGGCTACTTGCCTACCGAATCGCTTCGAAAACGAAAAAGCGGACTGGTTTCGAACGGCAGTGCTGTCGTTAAAGACAAAGTTCCTGGTAAGAACATGAAGAGGAGGGCGCCACTGGCACCTCACATGAACAACAACAATAAAATCGTTGTCAACCGAAAGTAGCGAATGTTTATAAAAGATAATCAACATCCAACAAAAATATTTCAACTTAGAACTTTAAGTTTCAATAATTTGATTTGAAACTACTCTTGATAAGAATACTTATTACTGCTGTAGTTGTTAACGAAGAGCTTTATCCCCTCCTAAAATTTAAGACCATTAGGTGTTATTTTCATTATGACGTTTGTTAACAAACTTTTGTTCAAAGTGAAAATAATTTATAGCTCACCTAACAATATCAACTGATGAAATCAGTATTTGCAGAAAGGGTTGTCAAATGCGACTGTTTGGAATATGCTAATATTTTCACTTTGGAGAAAAAAGTTGCAGACTAACGAAAAATAGCAACATTACTCTTAAGTTACGTGTAATTTAATTAAATAAACAAAACCACATACGTGCGCATGTTTAGTACTAGTCATTTTCGATTCTAAACACGGTTTTCGCGGGAGACGATCACTTTATTTTAGAAGATTGTAATGTTTGCGTACTCTTTTAATGTTGTCATTATTACTGTTACTTTAAACAATCATTTATAGGATAACAGCTAAAAAACTTGAGGTACCAAAAATGAATCAGTTGAAATTTTATGAAATTTTACGACAATGAGCGTTATTGCTAAAGTTAAAATCATATAATTATGAGATTGTTATCTTTAAATGTTATATTGTTCATTTCACTATCTTAAGATCATCAATCCAATGGATTTGTTATACTGTGTGTAACAATCGTTATCGTTATTATATTACAGAAATATACATGAAATATTCTACAAAGAGTTTAATTTCGTAGTTATTGTTTTTCCTTACCTAGGCATTAAACGTGCGCGTGCAAGTATGCTCAATAAGTTACAGAATACTTATTCACATAAAAGATATTCAAAGACTCGAGGGGTTCCATAAATTATTCAATTTTTAGCAAAAGAAGCATAAGCTGTTTTTGTTTCGAACGTGCGGTGCTTTTTCATTGGTATAAAAGAGTATGACTACGATTTCAGGGTAAGTAAACAGCAGTACAAAACTGTATTTTTCAGTCTAGGATCTGTCAAGTTATAAAAATCATGATTCTATACCACGTTCTGGTGTTACAGATTTGGAGCATTTTCATCTATGACCTATTTACGGAAGATTACTAGCTCTTTAATTATCAATTCACATAAAAAGAATGAGAAAAGTTGTAATATGAATGCAATACACATGCATACAACCATGAACATACATACAAACTTTTCTTTTCATTTGTTAAATTATGTTATACGTGACCAGAAATTTGCTGTGCTACTGTAATTATCATTAAACTGAAGAAAACTGGATAAAAAAAGTTATCTTTAAAACTAATTATCATATCTTTTCAACTATGCCTTAACGATGCCTCTTTCGTCATAAGCTATCGACGTCAAGTATACTCTTGGACGTTGACTCATTAAACTTAGTGATTTTTAGTTGTTCAAACGTAAGACTATGCTTATTGCTCAGTATATTTTGGAAAGAATAAAAGTATCTACAAAAAATTGAGTGCGGATAGTGCTGTGACAACGTAAAAAGTTTTTCTCCTGAACTATTGTTTATTTTGGAATAATAAGGTGAAACATTTTTTTTTTAAATAGTAATAATCCTGCACTGTAAGAAAACGTCCATAGTGACTAGACTTTCAGTAAGCATGTAATAAGATCCTTCATGCAACTATTCTATCAGGTAGAGCAGTGCAGTGGTGCGAGAGCAGTTGAATTTAACTTTCTCATTATTTAAAACTTGGTAAATGTTTTGATGGGGAATACTTTGATGGTTCACCAGTTAAACTAAAATAGCTTTTTTACGTAAATAGCTAAACAATGATCATGATTATGAATAAGATTTTTTTCTGTGTGAACGTAATCAAATTTTCAGTTTTACTTAAGTAATTTTAAATACTTAAATTTGGTAGATAACTTTGTCCTCTGACTAAATCATGATGGTTTACAAAAAAAAAAAAAAAAAAAAAAAAAAAAAAAAAAAAAAAAAAAAAAAAAAAAAA